GGATTTTCCACAATCACTGCACACATAACATCCATCTCTAGTGAAAACTTTCTGGTGTGGAATAACTGAGTGTTTGGTGCTGAAGGCTTTTGTGCATTTTCCACACCCGGAATTAGTTTTTCCCTTCTGAAAGGGTGGGCCATGCTTAGTTTCACTGTCTGTGTTCTCTACAGGGTAAGCGGCTTCTTGTTGGCATAATCCTGAACTGGGCAGAACGTTCTCCCCAAACTCACGGAAGACAAATGGCTCCTGTGACACCCTGAGCTTACGTTTCTTTACAAACGATGCTGCTCTGATACTCTTTCTGCAGAATTTCTCTCCAATATGCTGCTTCTGGTGCTGATTCAGGTTTGCAGTGTCATCCAAGTTTTTTCCACATGCCCCACTCCTGTTCAGCTTCTGCTTCTGATGAGTTGCCTGGTGTTCAACAAAGTGCAAATCATCCCCCGAGATGATGCCACACATTTCACAGGGGTGAGCCTTTTTAGGAGAAACAACTGCCCTAGGAGTCGTGTTCTGAGACTCTCTTTGTACAGAAATGCTCTGCTTGGACGGTGCCTCCTTATCTTTTGATCCACACCAACAATCTGAAAGCAAGAAAATGCTGGTCAAGTGCAAAGTACCTCTGATGGGAAGGCACAGCCCTTTGGGTGGGCTGTGCCACAAATTGAGGAATTACTCTATAAAAATATTTCCGGAACAGAATGTTGGCTTCAGGATGAAGATGGGCCTGCTGCTGGGTGCGGATAGCTCACGCCTGTAATCCCGGCACTTCGGGAGGCTGAGCGGGCCATCACCTGAGGTCAGAAGTTCGAGACCAGCGCACCAACATGGTGAAACCCCCATCTCTACTAAAAATACAAAAATTAGTTGGATATGGTGGTGGGTGCCTGTACCAGCTACTCCGGGAGGCTGAGGCAGGGGCTGTTGAGGAGCCCAGGAGGTGGAGTTTACAGTGAGCCGTGATCACACCACACCTGCCCCACTGCTGCGCCTGGATAACAGAGCGAGACTCCATCTCAAAAATAATAATAATAAATTTAAAAAAAGAATGAGCTGCCTAGCATTGCTGGACTATAAGGTCACAGAATCCAGAAGGCCTCATGATGTAAAGAGCACAAGCATACATGCAACACAGGGAGTAGAGGCAGGGTCGGCTCCTTCCTCCTAACCTGGGGTGTGCACAGAATCTTATCTCCTAATGACATGTGAGTGCTATGTAGAAGCATTATGGGCGGAGTGTGGTGGCTCATGCCTGTAATCCCAGCTTTGCGAGGCCAAGGTGGGCGGGTAACCTGAAAGAGGTCAGTAGTTCGAGACCAGCCTGTAGCTATCACAGTGAAACCCTGTGTCTACTAAAAATACAAAAAATTAGCTGCACATGGTGGCACTTAGACCTGTAATCCCAGCTACTCGGGAGACGACGCAGGAAAATCACTTCAACCTGGAAAGCAGAGGTTGCAGTGAGCCAAGATTGTGCCTTTGCACTTCAGCTTGGGCAACAAGAGTGAAACTCCATCTCAAAAAAAAAAATTATATATATATATGCATATGTCAAGACCAAGAAAACATGAGCACAACACAGCAGAGGGTAGTCATGGATGGTTTAACAATGGGCATACACTTCCTAATACACAATTGATACACCAATATTGGTGACTTAGCTGCAGATGAAAGCACAAAGAAAAATGGGTGAGATCTTGTGGAGTCAGAGATGTATTGAATATTAGTCTTGGGGTGGATATCACAGGTAGAAGTGGAAAGGTACAGAACTAACAAGTGTGAAACTCTCAACAATGGGAAGAAAAAGAAAAATAGTGTGTGCCTACTCATACTGCCACAAAAATACTCGGCAAATATAAATGGTTTCTGATATGATTTAGATAAACCCCTGAAGTCATGCCCTCCCCCCAGCATGGCACTCTGAAAACCCAGGCTCCCTTTGAGCCTATCGTGATGAGCCTGAATTGAACACGCATCTTGTGGCTGACCCGAGACTCTCCATCTCACCCCGGTACATGGGACTGGATGATATAAGCATGAAGGGAGAGACAGCAGAGATGAACAGCCAACACTAGCTCAGGACAATTAAGCACCTGACAGCCCACAGTTTACTTAGAGTAAACTATGTATTACAAAGAGAAATTCTAAGCAGGGTCTTGCAAGAACAGTCTATGGTCTATGTAGGTAGTGATAATGTCAATGAAGGCAATTCTCGGCACAGGGAGGTAGGAAGAATTGTCAGACAAAGGAAGGAAAGAAGTGGTCTATGTAGGTAGTGATAATGTCAATGAAGGCAATTCTCGGCACAGGGAGGTAGGAAGAATTGTCAGATAGAGGAAAGAAATGTTAATAGAACCTGGGCACACAAGAGCTACCGATTTGGACAGTCACCTGACAGCCAGAGAGCAAGCAAAGTGGATACATGAGGGTGGCTATAAGACTCCTGACTCAGACTCCTTCCCTGGGAGCCTGGAGCACAGGATGTGTTGGAGCTGCTTAAGGAGAGGAAAAGGCAATACACATACCTTACTCCTTACCAACCACACAACTCACACAGAGAAGTGTAGAAGGAACCTGTGTCCAGGCTCCTTAAGTGAGAAAGACAGTCTTGTCAATGAAAAGGGGAACGGCAACACTAGCTCAGCTCACAGGGTGAGCGTGAGCAACTTACCCAGGGAGGATATAAGTGCCAGGTTCTCTAGCATCACATCACGGTACAAGCACCTCTGAACCTCACTAAGAAGACTCCATTCCTCCTGGGAAAAGTTCACAGCCACATCTTCAAAGGTCACAGTGTCCTGCTATGATAGTGACAGATGAAACCACAAACAGCCCCTCTGCTGCGGTAACACAACCCACCTCTCCCACACAGCCACCCTTGCCCATCCTCCTCCCCAAGGTCCCCAACATAGAGCTGAAACTATGTCCACTGGTGCCTTTCTCTTCATGGGCCCACTGGTCAATTATCAACAAGAAGTAGGTGGACAAATAGGTATCCATGCTGAGGTCCGGACATAAAAAGGTCCACCCCTTTCTATGCCGGGTGCAGTGGCTCACACCTGTAATCCCAGCACTGTGGGAGGCAGAGGCCAGCAGATCATGAGGTCAGGAGATTGAGACCATCCTGGCTAACACGGTGAAACCCCGTCTCTACTAAAAATACAAAAAATTAGCCGGGCGTGGTGGCGGGCGCCTGTAGTCCCAGCTACTCGGGATACTGAGGCAGGAGAATGGCGTGAAAAGCAGAGATTGCGTTACTGTACTCCAGCCTGGATGACAGAGCGAGACTCCGTTTCAAAGAAAAAGAAAAAAAGGTCCACCTCCTTCTGAATAGCGATATCCAAGCTGACGTAAAGCCCAGGACGGCTGCCTGATTCCATTAGACAAACTTGCTCTCTAAATATATATCATTCTTTATACTGCACAGACACATGCCCATGGCCACCCCCACCTGAATTTCCCACACCTTCAGCCCCTCTCTGGCATCCCCACAAGTAAAAGTTTGTTTTTGGAGGTTGTTTTTGAGACACAGTCTAGCTCTGTCACCTAGGCTAGAGTGCAGGGGCACAATCGTGGCTCACTGCAGCCTCTGCCTCCCAGGTTCAAGTGATTCTTGTACCTCACCCTCCCAGGTAGCTGGGATTACAGCCGTGGAACACTATACCTGGCTTTATTTTTAATTTTTTTGAGACGGAGTCTTACTCTGTCACCCACCTGGAGTGCAGTGGTGTGATCTCAGCTCACTGCAAGCTCTGCCTCACGGGTTCACGCCATTCTCCTGCCTCAGCCTCCCAAGTAGCTGGGACTACAGGTGCCTGCTACCACGTCCGGCTAATTTTTTGTATTTTTAGTAGAGATGGGGTTTCACCGTGTTAGCCAGGATGGTCTTAATCTCCTGACCTCGTGATCTACCCGCCTTGGCCTCCCAAAGTGCTGGGATTACAGGTGTAAGCCACCGCGCCCGGCTTGTATTTTTTTTTTTAGTAGAGACAGGGTTTCACCATGTTGGTCAGGCTGGTCTTGAACTCCTGGTCTCAAGTGATCCACCCACCTTGGCCTCCAACAGGGGTGAGCCACCGCACCCAGTCCCCACAAATAAAATTATTTCACAAAATGAAGAGGGTATAATGGCCCATGATTCCCTTCGGAATATGCAATGGTTTGTTTCTGTAACTCTGCTCATCAGGATTGAGTTGAAACCCACTACAAAGTGTAACAACCTGGAACCCTGCTTCATCGCCTTGATAAAAAGCATTGTTAGGCTAGGAAACGTTATCCAAGAGAGCAGAGTGGGAATGAGATTTGTACTCACACCTTTTAAGGTTGTCCCACTATCACAAGGTGTCAAAGTGACACATCATATTGGGCCTTCAATTCTGGCCTTATACCAAAATGTGGATAAGCATCCAGATTATGCTTGACAAATACAAACAGGATCCAATATCAACACAGAATTTCCATGGTTTCCAAGAGTAGTGGTAATCCCAAATCATCCTGTGAATGTCTCCCTGAGTGACTCCATAGCCACACAGAACCACATGTGGCTTCAGATATCCACGGCCCTATCCCACTTCTGTGCTGCACCAACTGAGACCTCAGCTGTAGCAACCCTCCTCTGTCCACCTAATGCCGTTTAAAGCCCAGCCCGTGGATTTGTGAACCAAACCAAATCTACTATCACAGATGAGCATATTTTTCACTGCACACATGCACCAGGCTGAATGAAACTCCCCAGGCACTTCCAAAGTCCTCTCAAAACGTTTGTGAGTCCAGACAGTGATAAATAGTTGCAACTTTGGCACCGACTCAGTCTTAAGTGTCATGTTCCCTGAATTACTCCTATGCTTCTGCATACATCTATCTCTTGTCTGTTCTCTCCTTGGATGTCTATGTCCCCTTCCAAACTCTACCGTCTGATATGTCCTGCCATGATGGTCACTCACACCCTCTCAGGTGTTTAGGAAGCCCAACATCCCTCGGGGATGTAAGTAAGAGATCCACTCCTCAGCCTGTAATCACACCTTCCTGGCCCCTGAAAAGATTTACCACCATAATCGGAAGCATGTCCTCCTAAGTGGGACCCATAACTAAATTACCGTATAGTTCACCCATTAGCTTTCATATATCGGATGTCTCCAGTATCAACACCCTCC